TACACTACACTAACCTATACACTACACTACACTAACCTATACACTACACTACACTAACCTATACACTACACTACACTAACCTATACACTACACTACACTAACCTATACACTACACTACACTAACCTATACACTACACTACACTAACCTATACACTACACTACACTAACCTATACACTACACTACACTAACCTATACACTACACTACACTAACCTATACACTACACTAACCTATACACTACACTACACTACACTATACCTCAAACTATACTACACCACAACACACCACACTTCTTGCGTCGTTAAATTAAATACGAAAAAGTATCTATAAAAGAAGAGAAAACCTCATGGTACTCGTGTTTCATCAACCAATTTTTTTGTCAACCACTAGGMCCGAAGGCTTGTAAATAAAACAAAATTGGTTGATGAAACACGAGTACCACGAGTTCAAGTCCAACCAACATTACTCTATTTGACTAAGAGAAAACCTCTAGAACCAGGGTACACACTACATTACACTACAGCACACCACAACACACTACACTGCACTATACACTACACTAACCTACACTACACTACGGCACAATACACTGCACTGAATTACACTACATCACAACACTACACACTACACACACTACAACACGCTACACTACATTACATTACATTACACTATAACACACATAACACTACACACACTACAACACGCCACACTACATTACATTACACTATAACACACATAACACTACACACAATACAACACGCTACACTACATTACATTACACTATAACACTACACACACTACAACACGCTACACTACATTACATTACACTATAACACACATAACACTACACACACTACAACACGCCACACTACATTACATTACACTATAACACACATAACACTACACACAATACAACACGCTACACTACATTACATTACACTATAACACTACACACACTACAACACGCTACACTACATTACATTACACTATAACACACATAACACTACACACAATACAACACGCTACACTACATTACATTACACTATAACACTACACACACTACAGTCGTCATTGCAGTAATCAAAGTGACAGAAAATTGCCTTATTTAAAGAATGTTTGCATATATCTACATCCTGTTTTCACTAGGAATAAAGACTTGTGTTTGCGCTTGTGTCGCTAGTGATGTGACAGTGAACATTTTTTTGATAGGATCTTCTCGATGCCATCGCTGATCGTGCCATGCCCAGTCCTTCCCTGTCATCACAACAAAGTAAGTAACGCATCAAAATTGCAACTAAAGTACTGACTTAAATCCAGACCCTATGTATAGATATTTCTTATTGCTACCCATCSAAAACAAAGAAGAAAAAGATGAAGTAATGATATTGTGTTGTTGTAGGTCATGAGTTAGTACAGTACGGTCAAGGCATGGGCAGCCCTCAGCGATCTCTTCGACAACATGATATCCAGAACCAAGGATACGGACGCAAAAACCTTCCTTGGTCACAAAGTAATACTCAGCAAGGACAGTACGAAGAGACTGACTCACGTAATCACTATGAGGTTCAAGATTTATTCAATGGTTAAAAAGTTTGTATCGTGACACTTAGCGTGACAGGGATACACGTCAATTCCTACGTCACACAACTAYTCATGGAAGAAAATTATATCGCCAGTATGACACCTTCCAAGGCTGGGATGGACGCAAATCCCGGCAATAGATCATCTACATTAAGTATACACCAAAAAAGGACAGMAGTGCAAGTCAAACTATATTGTGTGACATTATAGAGGGAACCYTAAATAACTGGCTACTTTGAGGAGCGACTCTCTCTCTTATGATTGTCTCGTTATTTTTGTTGTTCCCGTCAGTCATTTTAATTTTTTTAGATATTAATGAATAGATTTTGATCGCTCACGCAAGTGGAGGCTTTAAACGATACACAGTGTGTCGTCACTTCCGGTTTAGATATTTTATGTTCAGTGAACTGAAAGGAAAGCTGTAAATTATCCGTATTTTTAGAAATTTAGAATAGAATATAATCAATTTCATAAATCTTGACGTAGATGACGAGTTGTGTTGTATTTTGAGTAATGGATCCCTTGCCAGTGAGTCAAAGAAGCGACGCCTCCCCCGTTCAAACTTGCCATGTAAGTCCTCCTCCTTGACTCGACCCATTCGCTTATTTTGGATCGATCCGCAACCGTTCTGTCCATTTGCGCCGTCATATAAAGTGATCGCACTTAATCCGTGGAACTGTACAAACTAAATAGTGATGTTTAGTTGCATTTAGTAGAGTGCAATTGTACAAAATCTAAGTAGTACTAATTTGTGCTAAAAGTGGACCTGAAGCAAGACGGTATTGAATGCTTCATTTGAATCAATTCAATTGAATATGCGTATCGCATGCATGATTTACTAAATACACCTAAACATCACTATTTAGTTTGTACAGTTGCATAGATCAAGTGCGATCACTCTACAAATGAAGCATTCAATACCGTCCTGCTTCAGGTCCACTTTTAGTACAAACTAGACGCTCTTGGAGCGTGAAGTCGGAATAGCTATTTTTGAATGTATATTATGGCGTAGAATATTGTATTTTTTTACTTCTAATACATAGTGAAAGCAAGAAGGCGTTACCGTTTATTCACACGATACGATATTGTTTTTGAYTGCTCTCTGCAACGACTTCAAAACGATAGAAATCTAAATTTTGACCTAAAAGGTCATGTACCCTGCGAACAACTTACAACTGACTAGATGTTGCTAGTCTAATATGTTTTTAATTCAAATTGCTGACCTCTCAGGCCAAGAAAATAAATACTTAAAAAAAGATACCTATAAAATAATCAAAGTTGCCTTTTTGTTATTGATAAACAAAGTTTCTTCTTGTTTTAATTTGAAATCTTTGCCCAAACAAGACTGTCTAGCGCTAGAATTCAGTTCCGTAAGAATACTACTCGAAGTTCCATGCGATCCGCACATGCGCGTACTTCTGATGCCTAGGCTGATGCATTCCGATGAGATCACAGATATCACATTTGTATACTAGAGCAGAGTCACTTGAACCATGAAATAGAAACTAAATACTTAGTTACTAATAGGCACTATTTAGACACT